TTACCAAATGTGAAATATTTCATCAGGTACTAGTATCCCAATAGGTAGAAATTTGTGTTTCAGAGTAAATGAATAGATAGCCGAAATGCATCAACATTAGTTTAAATAATAAAAGGAAACAAGCAGTAACCACCAAACCGATGTTAAAAATGTTAGAATGATTCAGAAAAGTTTTACCAACTGTAAAGATAGGCGAGTATCTGAAGCGTTTCATGTAATGTTAAATCGATCTGCAATCAGAAAGGTCTAACTGTTCATCCAAACAAACACACTGTATTCTATTCATTTTACACACAATCTATGTACACACAAAATCTATTTCCACTTCTCTATATTATAAGTTACCTATTTTTCTTATCCATTATCCTAAATACAAGTAGAGACTTATATCTATCGGAATCACCTACACAAAAAATACCATGGCATAGACATGTTCAAACCTATTGTGATTTTAATTGTATTAAAAGTTCTCTGCTTTTTTCGTTTTTGTTATTTATTTATTTCCTTCGAAGACGTAACTTACACTAAGTCACGAAACCTCAGAACTACAACTTTTTACTCATTGGGATATTACTACTACTTTCTACCTAACACTTAATTTATCTGGAACTACTAAGTCCAACTGTAGTCTTGACAATTATCATTTCTGAGTCAACAATCACAGATTACGTAACGAACTTGGACAAATAGACTTAAAATAATAACCACAAAGTCCTAGTAGAAATACGTAATAAGAAGTGTATATAAGTGATTAAACAGTGAAGAATATAAACAGAGAGTTAATAAAAATGACAAACAAACATACGATATGAAAACAATACTTATAATATAACATAATCGTTTATTACGTTATATCCGGTCAAGGAATTTCATCGCATAGTGATTTATAATAGTTAAAAGTATATTAAGTGGTAACTAAAGTTTGTCATACCCTAATCCTAAAAGCTACCCTATAAGTAATGATATAGAAAGGAAAAGGTGCCCATTATTCTGGGAAACAAGCTTATGAATGGACAAGTTAATTAATTTAAACATTCTGCTCCAGAGCACCACATTATCATTAAGATGATATGATACGTACGTTGAAGTTAACTAAAAAGAAGTGCTGTACTTTTGCATCTAGTTATAATTAAACGTAACATTTTTGGGTCAAATGAATTTTCGCCTGGTAATCAATGTATATCTGCTTTTAATAGCCTCTTCAGTGACTCTGATTATTATAATGATAGCTGCCTACAATGTCTGATGCAAAACCAAGCTAGGTCACTAGATTATTGGAGATGTTTAAAATATGTAACAGAGCTGGAGAAGTTTAAAAGTCGTAGTGTTTATGATCCACCCTAAACAAAACACAGACTAAACTATTTCTAAATATCGATACAGCGTACTAGGGATTAAACAATCACTTACTATAAAACAAGTATCTCTGTTGTAGTTGATTACTTGATATAAACGTGACATTTCATTGCCACTATTGTCACCTACTTCGACTTATGGTACAATGAATACATACATGCACATTATTTATGGAATCGATGACAAAGGTGAGAAAGAAAGTATGACATACTTATAGATCAAATTTTAGGACTTACTACTGGCATCCCATAGTTTACACACAACCGTTTATTTATGTTTAACAGTCTAGTTCACAAAACCTATTTGTTCTCGCAAGGTCTAAATCATAACCTCGTAATATAAATATAAAATGTAATTATGAAATAACGCTACATATACAACTATATTCAGGTAACCATTATTTATCAACCTGTGTGATAAAATACTCTTCTAATTCACTAAAGAATATTATGGGTATGAGTAAAAATGAACCTAACAAATAAATCTTCCTCATCTTTTCCCCAACAGTGAATGTACATATTTTATATCAAAACTTCAAGTAGACTTCAACACCACATAAACGAGTATATCATATTCCTAATGCCAGGAATAGTGTAAGAGCTGATTACTGTTTCTCAATAAACTCTCTCCGTCATATACTTACTTTTTATTATGTATTTACCCTTTCATAGTATTTGTATAAACAGCCTTGATAAGTAGGCGTGTGATCAGGTGATTCGAAGTGTGGAGTGAGATCAAATGACATTTTCCAGGTCACATATGTCCTCATTGAAACAAAACAATGATGATTGGCAGTGGTAGGCTAAAATGTGTATGAGAACCTACGGTTAGTTTAAATGTCATATGAGGTCATCGAACAAACAAAAGTCGGAAGGACAGAAACGATAAAATTATGCCACAGATACGCCGGACCAGATTAAGATCCATCTTCTCAATTAGCGTGCATAGTGTGCGTGGGTGACATATTATCAGGAAGATTGGATCACAAACACAATCTACTACCCAATCAACAGATGCCAAACACTAAGTAACTGATCAGAAAACAAGGTTGTTTTATATATATTTAGGTGTATGTTGGTACCAGATAGATGCAGCTGAAAGTTAGTTCCGATTATGGAACGTTTGAAGCTAGTGACTACCAGGCTAATGAACAACATGTATGCTAGCATCTAAAATACTTGATCCAGATTTTTATTAGAATTGATTTGCATTTCAGTGCACGCTAAAAAGTTCTGGTGTATCCATTTCTTATTCATTCATATGTTTGTTTACTATCAAACATGAGTGAACGTGACCTTAATAAGAATATTAGGAATCATGTGTATTGTCATATGATTTATTCGATTTGAACGTTGATCGAAATAAACAACCACTATTAGCAGTAAAACAGCCAAATCGACTTACGTCTAGTTTGATAATGAAGTTACAACGCATATTTTCTGAGCAGACAAAGCTGAAGCTAACTGTCGTTCTAGGCTTTCGGTGAGTGGTGCCACCATTCGTCATTTTATTTATGAGTGGATTCCCAATATTTTTCAAAAGATTCGTTTGAATTTATTATATATTCGTGTCTCATTTAATAAAGCGATGTAGTTTGGGAATATTCAACAACATGGACCGATTCACTTCAGTACGAGTAAATCCAACTCAAGACGCTATACTGCACAGAAACAATTAGTAATTCTCAGAACATAAAATAGTAATAATCAAGTTTGGTAGAAATCATATATCTTACAGTACAACACTTCTAATTTAATGCACAGATGTAGCAACAGATAAAATGGATGCTAAAGAGTTACCGTGTACAGAATTATCAATTGCAAAAAGGTCAGGTGATCAGAGCCATGAAAAAGATCTAACTTGGCTCCTGCGGAATAATACTAGAAAGCCCACTTATACATGAAGTAAACACTGATGATACAGTCAAAACATCAATTTCAGTTTTCCCGATCAAACCATGTAGTTAAATGGGGAGTAATATTGATTAGGCATCTACATAAACTACGTATCTTCGCTAGAACTGTATGGTATTGATTTAACTGATGCTATAAAAACTACAGCTTTGCGTTATTATGGGGATATCTTGAATAAGACAAAACAACCATATGCTTAGAATCTGCGTTATACGAAACAAATATGCTCGTACAGGACACTAAATATCATTGGTGGTATTTAAAATATAGGTGATTTGTTTGGATTGAAGTGATTACACCCAAAATGCACCTGAAATGAATCGTTTGTTGCCCAACCCACATCGATAAATGAAGACAGATGATTATGAGAACGACAAACAGGAATTATTCTGGAACTGAATTTTTGAAAAAAAGGTACGTAATTTAGGTGTGGAGCTATTTAAGTTTCGCAAATAATACGGTAGAGAAATTAAATAGAATAAATTTATATTCGATTCGTTTGTATTACGACCATGAATAGAAGGACATCATAATCGACAGCAAGTGTGCATCTCGATCCCATCATGATAATGTCAACCGAAAATCTGAAAGGTCCGTGACTTAATTAAAAGTATGATTAACGTTTTTCTGTGCTGAAGTGTTTAACTAGAGGTTAGTGATTTGTTCCTAACACCAGGTTAGCATTCTGTGTGGAGAAAATACATCCTCATTCCCAAAATCTAAAACACAAAAAGCGCCCATGACCAAAATCCTTAGTACAAAAATAGACCACAGAACACAAGTACGCGAAATTCTCAGGGTTTTAAGAGACTAGTATGAGAAAACTGTTATGGAATCAAAAACAGACAACTTACCCAAATTAAGCAAGAGCTAGAGCCACCTATGTAAAAGCCGGTTATTGTTGACATAGGACCTGGAATTGGATTTATGCTATGATACCTGGTCTCAGTATGGCTAAAGAAATAATAATTACAGACTATGACGGAGAGCTAAGTATGAGTTTAATTTGGAAGTTGAAGAACGAAAATTATAGAGACATGTAGTGTTTTGAGTGAAGGAACTCTACCACTAGCAAAGTATTGTGTTAGCATTACCGAGACATCATTTGAAAATGAAAAGCTATCAAACAAAAAAAGAACCTATAATAACAGTATGATTTAGGCGGAGTTGTTACTCAGAAGTTCTTAGCACTCGATTTACAACTATAATGTTTGCTTATAAAAATGCTTTTTCTTCCGTTTGAGTAACCGGGTAGCACTGACGTGTCTAAAAGACTAAGAAGGTGGCTTGCAATTGTTGCACTCGTCACACAATAAAGCTAAAGACTTGAAAATAAATCATTTCATACCACCAGTGATGAAACCAATTTTTAATGTTTTTGGAGATAATATATTTCATTGGAACTAAACACAACCTACGAAAATCTAACCTTCGTAAATTGAAATTAACTATTTCTTACTTCCATGAAATATTTTTAAACATTTCACCCGAACCCTATTTCTGGATCTACAATCTATAGGGACTAAATTTTATCCTGCTATAAAAACTGTAAAAAAAGGTGAATCGGTACCTGATGGCTTTTACAATCATGTGCACGCACTAGGCCAAATATCATGCAAATATTTAGGTTTTGGTGTTTAACATAGACCCACACCAAAGTGTGGAGACAGGGCTGAACCAATGACCAAGACAAAACCATAGTTAATTCCAGCAAATAAGCAGACATCAAGTGAAGACTGAAGAATTTACTTGAATGTTTATAGAAACTCAGGTTTACAAGTTCAGTGCATGATAAACGAAATAAAAGTCAAGTGTTTGCAAATATTCTGGCGTTTCCATAAATCAGGTTATGAAATAAAATGCAAATAACAATATACAAGAAAATGAATCATAGTAATAAACGCATATGAATGTAGCATAATCTGTCTTAATGGAATTCACGTGGATGTATCGTATAATCTAGGTTACCGTTCATTCAAAAAGCAATATCGGACTACCTCAGTGAAGAAAGGGCGCACAAAATTTGTCGTTTAGTTCACATTACTTCCAATTTCAGAATTTGTGGCATCCGACATTTTCCTTGCTAAGCCGGCATTCTTTTTTTGAACTTCTTTTATCCACGGAGCTAAATTCTCATCTTTCAATTGTAAACTTTGCTTCTTCTTTTTCTTCATAGCAGCTTCTTTTAACCATTCAGGAGCTCCCTCACCGTTCTTAGATATAACCTCTTCCCATCGTCTTTCCACATCTTTCTCTCGTTCTTTTTGTGCCTGCTTCTTTATGACTTCACTTTTCCACTCACATGCTTGACTCATTACCGAAGTTTGGTTGATCGACAAATCCACGGCCAAACTAAGATACAAGGTTCAACATAAAGCATGACTTCGTTTCAGCCAATATATCAAAATATAATGGCCAATCAGCTTTTGAATCAATAATTAAACGGGGAAGGAAATAAAGGTATAGTCAGCAAGTTATGTCGACAAAAACCATTAACCAATAGTAAGTTGCCTTAATCGACCAATTAATTATTGGCAAGTTATCGATATTCATGATCTGATTCAGTAGAATTATATGTAAAACGAATATGTTCATTAGAGAGCGAAATCAGTAATTTCGTGAACTTTATTTAGTTTCCTACAGCATTATTTGTATTGGGTGATAGCACAATATTCAATAATGAATACTGGTAACTGTTTGCAGATACTACTCTCACAATCACTATGTGCTTCAATTTACGTGTATTTGCAACAGCTAATATGTACACAGAACAAATTGGAATGCCTGTATTCATTTCCTTAATCGTGTTTCAAAATGTCTGCTTTCACTAGGGATCATTGGGCATAACAACATGATTTATATATTTCTGGTTAACACAGGACTAGTATACTAAAGCTATAGATATCAAGGGCATGGAAACTGATTCGTGCTCTGAAGGTAACAGATTTCGCTCTTCCTTTTCCATGGCAACATGACCATTATTCGATGGTCGAGTTTATACAAGTTGTGGCTGAGCTTGAGCCATAGCGAAGATAATCATTAGTTTAGTAGTTAGTGTTCACTCCAGACTATTTGATTAGAATGCATTCATTTGGTTTCTCATACAAATATAGACTTGAAACTACGATTAAGTATTAAAAATAAGTATTAAGATTCATTTGATCTGTTTTAGGTAAAAGAAGTTTACTGATTCATATGAATGAGTTCCTCTTAAATATCAATGTTTTTTACCAAACTTTTCATTATTTGATACAACAGACATTTTTAAAATAAATATGTACATTTAAGAAGCCGTTAAAACTATCAGTTATTAATCAAGAGTCAATGGTACAGCAACCACTGATCTAAAATTACACGTATCAACTTTATGAGTTCACCTAGTTTCTAAAGCCAACACTATAGTTTGATAAGTTAATACCATCTACTCACTGTTTTTTCACGTTTTTTTCAGTACTCATCAAGTATACAGTTAGCTTCCATTTTGTCTGTAATCTGTTTTCATTTGACTGCTTTTTATCACCCACCAACATATTACACAACTTTCACTTGATACTTGAAGAACATTTTCGGTAACTTATAAAAATTTTCTTCTGAATTTGTGACAATAGTTTCACAGAAGTTCGGCGCTGAGTTAATGCATGGCATTAAGGAGGCAAATTATATTTGCACAAATCTCAGAGCCTTAAATTCGCATAAATCCAACATTTCTCTCGGCAGTCTATTATAGGATTTTTCATGGAAATATAATCAGATATCAAAATTATCGTATATAACTACACGGTTCACAATTTAGCTGTATACTAAACAAGTCGCTCATTAACGTTAAAAATATCGAAAGTGTGATGTGTTGTAGTGTATGAGACATTAGGTGTGAAATGAAGAGAAACTCTTTTAATAACGTAATAAGTGTTTTGTGGAGATGGAAATAATATACTGATTGGTCCACCACAGTTTATTCAACTCACGTAAGTCTATAATTAAATAGTTACAGTTAAGATCGCAAAGCTTCAATACATAGTAATAAATAAAAGGACATTTTCTTCGTTGGATCGCCTTAATTTTCTTTAAAGTGGATCAGATTGAGAAGACTGATGAAAGATAACACAAATGATTATACGAACCTCTCAGAAAGACAAACCGTCAAATTTAAACACCAAATTAAAACAGAGTACGAACAACATTAAAAATCCTATCAAATTCATTAATATTATCGATGGAATTGACCTACCATTATAAAACCTTACAGGAACTCGAAATTGGATTGTCTTACCTTATTTGGAAAACAAGTCGGAAATCGCTAAATAACTTTGACACCATTCGAAATGCTGTTCATAGCTAAAGGCAAAAGCTTCACAAGCAGAAGGCTACAGCAGCTGACGATGGCATCATGTACATCATCAATCGAGTCAACTACAAAAAACTTTACGGTGAACAAACTGATTTTCCGTCTACCCACACATTTATGAATACAGATTAGCAGTAAAGACATATATTTTCATTTATATCAATGTACTTAGACAATTATGCGAGAAGTATGAAATTTCCGAAATTCATACCATCGAGCTTAACGTGCAATCAATGTGCATAAATCTACCCTATTATATCATGTGAACTAAATCGATTAATCAGTTCACTTTAGTAAAATAATAAACAGGAATGCAAAGGGATGATTTTTAAACAGCTAATTTGGTTTCTGTGAGCTGATGCTAAAAACACTCCCTTTTACTTGATATAAGCTCTCATTATATCCATAAATGGTTTATAATTAAATTATCTACCTCAGAAATCCAAAATCACAGAAACGAGTATCAAATCACTTCGTATGTCCTCTCCTGAAACCATACTGCTGAATGATATATACTTTTAGATTTAACACATGTATTCCTATCATTCTTATTTTCTTTCTTATGAATAAATTTCTTTATCTATATGTTGGATAACATGTTGTATTTCTTGAAAGCAAATTTCATTCGTGAGTCTTGAAATAACCGTTCTGTCCAATAATCAAGTGGAGTTTCTGGTATTAGACTACCCAGGTTACACAAAACAGCATTTAGGATTTCAACATTTCCTTCATTATTTCCAGCAAGGTGTATTGAAATGTATGATTCAAAGGTCTTAACTGTACTCATGAATATTTGGTAATTTTTTTGGAAAGCATAAATTCTCTGATACATCCCCCTATTTAATTCCAGCTTACCAACAAAAACCGAATTCTTACAAGCTAGAAAAGTTTCTAGTTAGTCTACGGCATATCGACAATTTTCTGTATTACAAAAAAAAACCTTTAAAAATATGATCGTACATGTCAAACAGATAATGCAAAGTGCATGATTTTCTCACAATTATGGAGTGGACGATGCATTTTAGTAAAAATCTTAACTGAAACAACATGTGATCTGTTTTTATGATAATTGTTATTATCACAATCAGATTAACACTATTTAGAATCTACATTCGTTTTATTACAATTTAGAAGGACTAAAAATTTATTATTTGTTGAAATCAGAAAACATGATGTGGTTTATTGAAACAATGGAACTTATACTAAGGTATATCTATATATATATTGATTAAATGTCCATATAAATAGATGCCAATGTCCAATATGTTGAAAAACTAATTCAACGTATTTCTTAATTTTTGCATAAAGTGGTCCAGATATTTGAGAGAGTTGTAGTTCCTTTGAACCAACATCTCATATTAATTGGAAGGATCACTAAAATATGAAATTAAATTACACTTACATTACCTTGAACTGAAGTGTTCGTAAAACCTGATGCTTCAAATTACAGACTACTTAAAACATTAGATCAAGTTAAACTTATTCAAAAAGTATAGCTTTATGGAGATCATCTGATTCATAATTCACATAACGAGCTATTATTTTTTGGGTGAAGTGACTTCACTTTTATGAAGAGGACGTTCCTGTCAATATATTCAGATGAAACTCTGGTTCCGTCTACGTCAGGCATAAGTATAGTCCCGAAATTTGCTAATACGGTCGCTTCTGGTTTCTTGGCTCATTACGGTTACGTCCAACGTCTACAGCTCTTTCTGGACCCTACGAACATTATCTTCACCTTCTGGGTACAAACAACTCTGTGTGGTACTACAACTTGAGCAACAAACGTGACATGTTACTCCTGGTGCAGTTCTACATAAAAGACCTTCAGTGACAACTCGAGCATCATGGATTACTTTCTGTTCGACAACCCTTTCATTCTACAATCGCACGTTTTTCCGACCAGTTTGACGAACGAAACTGCTATGTATCGAATGCGTATACCGTTTCAAGCTTGGGACTATTGTAGTGACTTCACTTTTATGAAGAGGACGCGGTTGGTTTGATAGAAACATTTATTATTGTAACCAATTGTACCAGTGATTGTTTTACTGTACTCTTTGTTTACTCGTACTCTACACACCCACTCTCCGTTCGTGTTGCTTCCACGTTCGTTACCCTGCTCGCGGTAGTCTCGCCGGTACAATTTCGCACGATGTCGGTATAATTTCAATACCACGAGATCGCCAACAAATATACATTAATTTCTGGATCCGATCTTCTTCCTAGTCTTGGTTTCACAGAGAGATTACACCTAGTAACTAGAACGTGATTGGTCTGTAGTGGTGATCATAGTCACTCTTGACTCACAAATACTATAATTGGAGAACCCGAATTCGAACATATGCTACAACAACAACACCACATCTGCTGACGTTTCTTCACAAAGAAAGCCAATTACGGTCAGTCTATTATTCATCTATCCTCATTTTTTCATTCCTTTGTTGCCTATATCATATCGATACCTTTTAAAATATGTATTATACTTGCAACAACTTTTCGAAGTGGAGGATAGCCATAAGAATATTGATGATATAATAGACTCCGAGGTAAAGGTTCTTAATTTCCGATCAATTTCCTTCATCGCCCACAATCCAGAAGTCTGGTTCGCGACACTTGAAACGCAGTTTGATATCCGCCGAATCTAGAGCCAGAACGTTATTGGTCTGTAGTGGTGATCATAGTCACTCTTGACTCACAAATTCTATGAGATTATAGTGGTTTACTTTTACGAAGAAAGCACAATTTCTGAATTATAAACATTTGTTATTGCACTTAATTCTGACAATAATTGTTATATTGTAAACCTTTTGTTCATCTGTACAAAGGCTCTCTCGCGCACCAAGCGTTTTCTTCCTATTCTCTTTTTCGGGCGTCTCCTGCATGGACGTTAGCAGTTTGTACGCCTTCTAGCCTCGATATTATTTCGATATCATGCGGCTAGCATCGTCTTTAATCTGATTATTAAAGTAATGGGATTAAAATTTGTCATCCCGCGAAGTATTATTATATTTCGATTCGCAAT